AACACAATCACACACACCAAGCATGAACACATACACACACATACAGATACACAGATACACAAACATATCACACACACCAGACATGCATACACACACACGCCAGAAATCTACACATATCCACACATATCCACAAAGACACAATCACACACCAGATGTGCACATACACACACCCCAGACATGCACACATACACAATGATAAAACATGTCACACACAACTGATATGCACACATACATAAACTCACACTACACACTAGACAGTCACACACACCACACAGCAGACATGCACACACACATACACATACTCACCGCACATAGCAGGCGTGCACACACGTACACATATATACACAACACACCACACAGCAGGCATGCACAGGCCCACATGCACACACATGGGCACACACGCTGTCACAGACACAGTCACACACACCTCTTACAAGGCGCGCAGAGGTGGCTCGGGGGGCGGTTCCGCTGTGCCGAGACCTGCGCCAGGCCCCCTAGCAGGGAGCAGGTCAGGGAGGGCAGCGGCCACGATGAAGATGGCTGAGGGTGCGGGGCAGGTGGCCGGGGGCCCAGTCCCCGGACCCCGCTGCAGCACAGAACTGGGCGGGGCGGGCAGGACGCGGTGGCGAGGCCGGGTTCGGCAGAACATGCTCTAGGACCCCTTCCCACTGCAAAACTCTTTGAGGACCCCACAGAGCGCTTGCTTACGTGGGTTCTATTCATTTGTGTACCGTATCATAAATGAAAACTAAGCCTTTTTTAAAATACTTATACATTTACAAAGTAGCGGTAACAAACCCATTGCATATTAACATAAACTGTTTTTATGAAGAATGTGTACCTGGCTGCACCGGAACCCCACACCGTGAAGGACCAACCCCGAGAGCGCCTGTGACATCACGACCTGGTCATGGGGACGGAACGACCTCACCGAGACCGTCCCAAGGGTGACACGTGGCGTAGACAGTACGTGGTGGATACAAATGCTCCAAAACCCTCGTTTCCCCTTGAAGGCCGGGACGTCGTCCCTGGCCACACACTGTCGGCTGCCCCTTAAAGCGAGAGGCCGGCTGTGCTCGGATGAGCGAGTGACCACCGCGTGCCAGGTGGCCGTTCCTTCTGTTCACACTGGCCCACGGGGAGAGGATGCCGACGCCATGTGCGGCTCGAGCCATCGGAGGAGTGCGCCCCCCACGAAACCTCCCACTGCGGTCTGTGGGGGCGAGCGTGCGCATGCGTGAGCGGCCGTGAGTCCCCACCGCCCGTGTCCCAGTCCGGGGCACAGTCTGGACTCTCCCCTGCCCGTCCCTCACATGCCGGAGCCAGGCCCCGGCACGGGGCCAGCAGACGAGGCCACCCCGAGACCCCACAGAGACGAGGCAGGGAAGGGCCGACTGCAGCTCTGGAACGCCCTCCCGGGGGCGGATGGGCGATGCCGACCACCTACTCGATCATGGACAGCGCCATCTGCCTCATGGTCCCCTTGTCGGAGCTGGTGTCGCCAAAGGCGGGGCCCTTGAGCATGCTGTGGGTCTTCGCACTCTTCTCCAGCAGGTCCCGGGACAGGGCGATGGAGAAGCTGAGCATCGACACGTCGGACTCGAAGTTCGTCTCGTTGCTGCACAGCGTGCACTTGTCCACATTCCCCGACACGTCGTCCAGCCCCTTCTCCGCCTTGTCCAGGTCGCCGACGCTGCCCCTCGGCGACGCGGGCTTCTGGAGGCTGGCCCTCGGGTTGACGGACTCCTGGCTGCCGGCGGCAGCGGGCAGCGGCCTCAGCTCCTGGCTGACTCGGGCGTGCGCCAATTCGAAGAAGATGGAGTCTGATTTGTAGAATGAGAGGAAACGGTTTCGAGTCCCTGAGAGCTTGGGGACTTCCTTTGGAAAGTACAAAAAAAAAAAAAATACCATTACAAGGAAAAAGAAGTTAGAGCGACAACCACCGAACAAATTAGAGCGACGAGCCCGCCGAACGCCTTCCTCAGCAAGGACCAGCGCGCGGCCGAGGGCGGCCTTCGGGGCACGTGGCTACCGACACCCCGGGCCTTCCCAGACCCCACGCAGAAACCCGAGCCACGCAGTGGCCGCC